AAGCTTTAGTTGTCCCTCTAAAGCAATTGGTTAAACACCCTGGCTTTATGGATAAGATTCAGCTAGCCTGATAAATGTGATTATAATATACAATAAAACTTGAGTTGTCCCTCTAGAACAATTGGTTAAACGTCCCGGCTTTATAGATAATTTTCAGCTAGCCTGATAAAGGTAATTATAATATCTATACAATGATATTAAGTTATCCCTCTAGAGAAATTGGTTAAACTCACCGGCTTTATAAATTCAGCTAGCCAGACAATGGAAAATTTAAATAAGGAGTTTCGATAAAAATGAACTAAGGGAGTTAAGGAACACCTGTTATAGTCAAATTCACACGAGCACTTAAGAATTTTATTTTTAGACTGATATTTCTGCACTACCTTTGTTAGAGGAGCTTACAAAACTTGAACAAATGGAAGATTTCAGAGGACTAAAAAAAAGTCTAGTAATTGATCATGCTAGTTGTGTCATTTTGTCCGCATCCAATTAAAATGCCAAGCCAAAAAAGGGGCATGTTGCAACGAGCAAGAAAAAATAACATTTTTTATGGCTGAAACCTTAGAAAATAGGAAGCCAACCTAAAACCAACTCATCAATTTGAACATTTTTCAAAGAGTTATAACTCTGAAAGCATGAAAGAGTATTGATTCTTTTGATATTATTTGAACTCATGTTTATGATTTGATTCGATTACGAGCCTGAATTAAGGGGCAATGTTTTACAAAATTCTTCTATTTTCATATCCTTTTTTCCCTCATAAATAAGAGAAATGAGAAAAATACTTTTAAATAGGACAACCTCAAATATGAAAGGTCATTGAAGCAGTAACCTGAGAAGAAAATGGGGGATGATCGATTCCAAGGACCAGATCAGTAGACAAAAATGAGGCTCAATCCTAATTCATGTTGCATGCATATTAGGCATACTTAAGAGTATCACATTTATCATCTTTTCACATACATAATTTTTTGCAGTTTTCAGAGTCAACTTTCGACTTCAAGATGAAAGATACTCGATTCGAAAGCTCCTTTAAAAGATTGATGGTGATTGCTTGACTCAACAGTGAGAAACTACATCTCAACCGACTTGACATATCTACATATCTCAGAATCAATTTCAGATGGGTTCGAGAGTCAATTCAGAACGAATCCAGATCAGCTTAACTCAATAACGAGTAGTAGGTTTCCGATTAACATTTTCAAGCCAGATTTCAATTCCACGACGAAAGATATCCAGCTGACAGAATTTATCAATGGGCTTTCCCGTGAAGGGAGTCATCCAGAAATCATATTACTTGGTTCAGACCCGCTCAAAGGAACCACCTGAAGAACTATGACCGGCTTAGACCCATGAAGGGAAGCCATTTTTTAAAGAAACTATTTGCAGCATAACTCAAGGTTAGAAGGGTTATATTCCAATAAAAGACCTTTGAGTTCGACTACGCTCAGCTCCAAGGCACATCATTTACAGCATAACTCAAGGCTAGAAGGGTTATTTGCCAACAAAAGACCTTTGAGTTCGATTACACTCAGATCAAAGGCACAACATTTACAGCATAGCTCAAGGCGAGAAGGGCTATCTGCCAATGAAAGACCTTCAAGTTCGACTACGCTCAGCTCCTAAGCACATCATTTGTAGTATAACTCAAGGCTAGAAGGGTTATCTACCAACAAAAGGCCTTCGAGTTCGACTACGCTCAGCTCCAAGGCACATCATTTGCAACATAGCTCAAGGCAAGAAGGGTTATTTGCCAACAAAAGACCTTCGAGTTCGATTACGCTCAGCTCCAAGGCACATCATTTACAGCATAACTCAAGGCTATAAGGGTTATCTGTCAACAAAGACCTTCAAGTTTGATTACACTCGGCTCAAAGGCACATCATTTGCAGCATAGCTTAAGTCGAGAAGGGATATCTGCCAACCAAAGACCTTCGAGTTCGATTACACTCAGTTCAAGGACACATCATTTACAACATAACTCAATGCTAGAAGGGTTATCTGTCAACAAAGACCTTCGAGTTCGATTACACTCAACTCAAAGGCACATCATTTGTAGCATAGCTTAAGTCGAGAAAGGCTATCTACCAATCAAAGACCTTCGAGTTCGATTACACTCAGCTCCAAGGCAAAAAGGGTTATCTATCATCAAAGACCTTCGAGTTCGATTACATTTAACTCAGAGGCAAAATCAAATTTACAACATAGCTCAAAATAAGAAGGGCTATCTGTCAACAAAATTTTTGAGTTCGATTCCATTCGATTCGATGACACATCAATCACACTACTTTTCGGTTGCAGTTGAGGTTTTCAATTCGAGAAGAAGACCTGGGTTAACCGTGCCTTAGTAACAAGAAACTGTTTTCCAACAGCATAGCTTAAGTTGAGAAAAACTATCTGTCAGCGAAAACTTTTGAGTTCGATTTCGTTCAGCTCAAGGGCCTATCACCCTCATGGTGGAGTCAAGGAACAGTTCTTCAGTTAAAATTTTCACAACAAGGTCTTTAAGCCGAGAAGAAGACCAAGGTCAAGAATGAAAATAAGAAGTCATTTTCTGATTTTTCTTACGATTTCAACTTCACAATGAAAAATATCGTACCCAAAAGATTGACCCAACTTCACGACGAAGGAGTTATTTGTAACACTGCAACACCAAAGTCTTCAGGTCAAGCTTCATCTTCACGACGAAGTTTCCTGGGCTAGAAGAAAATCCAGGAGCCATTTGTCAAAGCTTTGAGTTCGATTTCGACTTCACATCGGAGGATATCGTGCTCCGATTTTTCTAGTTCAACTTAGCCTCACAGCGATGAGGTCATTTCATAATCCAGTCCAAATTAAGAAACCTGCCATAACGTCGGATTCCAACTCTACAACAAATGACATTCGATAAGATGAATGATGTTAAACTCGGTGATACTTTCATAGACGAATATTGTATCTTGTAATCTTTGCCCTATTCCCGTTACACGACTATGGGCAAAGAGGGGCAGCTGTGGATACTAATTTTCGTCCGACCCAACAGCAACCCACGACCCATTGGAGCCGAACAAGCAACCCGTTCCAACCACATCCAAAGACTCCTCGCCACTCGCGCAACCACCGCCGGTTCTCTCGACACCAACATCCACAAGTCAACAAACAATAAACTTAGAGTTTTAATCGGGATCAAACTCCCTAAAAAATATAACTCTTTAAGCCTATAAAATTATACGAAAACCATGAGCAAATGAGGGTTCATACCAGATTCATTCGAATAAAAAATAAAGAGAGATATTCGAGGGGGCAGTTCGGAGAGGAAACACAAGAAACACAAAGGGGAACTCACCTTCGATTTTGAAAAAGGGGAAGTTACAGTGGAATCACGTGAGAGGTGTTGGTAGAGAAGGAAAACTGAAGCAAAAATAAAATAAGAGAGAAAGAAGGCTCTCATTTTCGGCTGATACTTGTTCCCGGTGATCGGATGAGCCATTCGATGATGCGAACGGTGGAATACTTTGGAATTAAATCGATCCAACGGTGGTCGGTAGCAAATTTGATAAGGAAAGCCGAAACATTTATCGACCATTTCGTGTAAAATGGAGGTTGGATTCATGTTTCCAACGTCGAGACAAAACACCCCATGAAACATAGAATCGAACGAAGACCAGAGCCCAGCGGCATACGACACTCGACCACTATAATTCCAGAGCCTCTCCCTCTTTTGAATTTGAGATAGACGAGGCATGGTTTTAAAAACCAAAACCTTGATTTTTTAATGTTGCACTTTTTTTATGATTCAAAAGGGAGATTTCATGCCTCAATCATCCAAGTTTGTTTTATTTCAATTTGGTCTGTTCATATTTTAATTTCTTTGTTTTGTTCTTATTTTTATTTATTTATTTAGTATATATGTATGTTATGTTCATTATTATTTCCTTTTTGTCCCTTTATTTTATTTTACTCTTTTTATATATTTCTTTTATTATATTTTCTGGTATTATTTTTCTAGGTTATTTATTATTATTTTTATTTATTTTTTTCTTTATTTTATTTTTACTTTTATTTTTATTGATTTTATTTCTTTATTATTTTTTTCTTTGATTTATTGTTATTATCATTTTTTTCATTCTTATGTTTTTTCCAACATTTTTGACCTTGGTAGAGAAATTCTAATCGATCAAAGGTAAGTAATTCGAATCGGATATTTTAAATTTAAATTTTAATTTTCGTAATTAAAGACAACCGGCATCGAAAGGGCGGTTCAAGGGTGTTAATCCTTCCTTCACCGTAACCGACTCCCGAACACGACATATCTCTGGTAAAACGCAGATCAGGTAAGATGGTGTCTGATTCGCCTAAATGCTCGTAAAAGTGATCGGTGGCGACTCTAACCCAATTCATTCACGTCGAAGCCCAATTCCGGGCCCAACCGAAAGACAGTCGCGACATCATCATTGTTCATTTTTAAATATGGGTAACCTAAACAGAATCAAAACGTAACGTTAGGTATAATTTTGAAAAAATATAATAATCAAGTGACCAAAACATAAATTAGATAATATATAAGTGACCAAATAGGTAGTTTACTCTAAATAAAAATATTTATGAATTATATTAGATAATATATAAGTGACCAAATAGGTAGTTTCCCTAAATAATAATCGAGTGACCAAAACATAAATTAGATAATATATAAGTCACCAAATAGGTAGTTTGCCCTAAACAATAATTCGAGTGACCAAAACATAAATTAGATAATATATAAGTGACCAAATAGGTAGTTTACCCTAAAAAAATCCCTAAGTGGGTACTCGAGTATCCAGAAAAATTCAATTTTGTGATATGGGTCTGACCCTGGAAATGTCGGGTCGGGTCGCTGACACAGCAGGGTAATTTTTTAAGAAAATTACCCGGTTTTTTTTTAGTTTCGGGCTGACGGGTCGGGTATTTTTGCACACCCCTACTTATGGCTGAAGGTTCTTCTAGGTTGATGCATTCCGCCGTTATTCTCGTTTTTGAAGTCTGAATCAACTGAGGCCCGGAAGGCAGCAGCAGAGGCTATATTTGAAGTTTCTTCTGGTGGTCTTTCAGATGGCCATGTTGGCATGAAAATATTTGTTACAGAAGGTGTCGCGCCAACTTAATGGGAACAACTCAGTCCATCGAACAAGCAGGACAATGTGGTGGAAGGGTTTGTTACTGGAGCTTTGAGGAACCTTTGCAATGTGAAGGATGACTATTCGAGAGCTACACTGAAGGCTGGAGTAGTAAATATAATTGTGGGTCTTCTTGCTTCTGATAATGCTGCTGCTCAATCCAATGCAGCTTCCCTTTTGGCCAGATTGATGTTGGCATTCAGTGATAGCATCCCAAGAGTAATAGATTCTGGGGCTGTCAAAGCAAGCTTGTAGGTCAAAAAACTGTCGCTTCTGTCCGTTCAAGTGCTGCAGATGCTTTAGAAGCCCCGTCTTCAATGTCCAAAGCAGCAAAGAAGGCAGTTGTAGATGCAAATGGTGTTCCTATTCTTATCGGGGCTGTTGTTGCTCCTTCTAAAGAGTGTTGAGGGACAATATAGTAACGATTTTGATGAAGACATGATGCAATCTACAAAGAAGAAGGCTATGATGATGATGAGATTGATTTGGATAATTTTTTCGTACGAAGAATTGACAGCTCTGGAAGCTTAGGAGGGGCAAAGGCACAAGGTTTTTTTTTCCTTCTGAAAATTTTTCTTTCGAGTTATTAAACATAAGTAAATATAATATAATCTCTTAATGTTTATAATGTTTTCAAGATTAATATTTTCATTCAATATTTCTTTTGAATATTGAATAGATAGTTCGAATGTTGAGTCCACATAATAATATGATGTGCATATTGTTGGGCTCCTAGGCCCTAAGATGCCTTTAGACTACCATCTTACTCCCATTATAAGCTTTTTCTCAACTCAACCCAAAGTATTGTTCAAGGAGTGTCCAGGGACTAAAATGTATATTATTTTTTAGAAAAATATATTATAATGTTATAGATTAAGTCCCCTTTTTTAGAAAAAAATATATTATTTTTTTCTAAAATGAACTAGATCATTAGATTAATTTGATTCAAATTTCAATAAAAATAATTCACGTAAACTTGAGCATAATTTACTGAAACCGCTAAAAAGATATTTTTTTTATCACTGAGACGATTAGATTTGTTTCTTAAAACACTTTTTTAAAGCATAATTCACACAAAATTAAGCATTTCCTCCATGTTTCATTCATCCAGCCTAGAGACTCCAAGCTCTTTTCCCACCGAGTGTGGGATAAAAAGTTTAGATTCTTGCCATTGGTTCTTACAGCAAAAAGATGGGGAAAAAAGTCTAGAAAATTGAGTATGATCTTTACAGATAAGTATAATTTAGAAACCAATTTATTATATAATAATAGATGTCAGCCCCATATGCAGATGCTCCCTCCTCCCTCTCTTTATCCACATGCTTTGCTCTGTTTCTTACAAAAATCATACAGATCCCATGAAGATGTATCATTCCTGCCTTCACCGGTAATGCTGCCGAAACAATCACCAAACATAATTATTAAAACCAGTTTAAAATAATTCAAACCCGAACCGTTTAAATATTTTTAATGGATTTGATTGAGGTGTTTGTGAAGGGCGTATCGCCTATATTTATTTATTTAATTTTGTGTTGGTCCAAGCGTATCACCAATATTGAATGCTTTTGCTTTCCCACAAGTCATTAATTGTATTTACCTTTTTGTTGGATTGTTAAGTAGATTAGATCTACCAATATCCCGTTTATTTTATTAATAAATTTGGACATGATCAGATATCTCATAGTAATAACTAATAAATATATATTGTACGGAAGAATTAATGTATAGTTAATAAAAGGTTCTACCATAAATATTAATAGTTTTTAACATTTTCAGTAAAGCGTTACCTAGAATATTATTTTTTACTGAAAATGTTAAATATTTTAGGTAGCGATCAATATTAATATTTTCAGTAGAAAAAATAATATTTTAATAACGTTTTACTGAAAATATTAAAAAATATTAATATTTCTGATATCGTCTTTTTTTAACCGCATATTAAAACTATAGTACCTTATATTTTTTTTAAATATCTAAATATGGACATTGTTGTGGTAATGATTTTCATAATTACATGACAGACATGCAAAACACATTTTTTTACTGATTTCTAGGTTACTAAAAGCAAATTACATCGAAGACTCGTGCTGTCCAAAATAATTGTAGATGATTATTTCTATTTTTACTTAAACAAAATAGGCCAAAATATGGACAGTGTTCTGATAGTTTTGAATCCCAAGTTCATTAGCGTTTTTGGCTGCAGACAACAGGTGGGGTTGAAATCTAACAATTTTAACTCTAAGAGTGAGTTTGGTTCGCATAATCATATATTATCAAGAGGAATTTTTTTTCAGAATTGTATTCTTACATTTGGTTCACAGAATCTTATATTGTCGGGAATACTCTTTTTCCAATAATAACATTTTTTGGTTAAAATGGTGGGAATGTCACTACCTCCAAATTCTTAGGTAATCTTACATTCACATCACTTTGGATAAGAATATCATTAGATGGCGTTTGGTTCGTTGGAATGTTTCCAAATTCTTAGATAATCTTACATTCACATCACTTTGGACAAGAATACCCTTAGGTGGCGTTTGGTTCGCTGGAATGTTTCTGAGGGAATTGGAATATGTGAATGAATTGGAATATGTGAACGAATTGGAATCTGTAGGAATTGAAATCTGAATTTGAAACCTGTTTGGTCGGCAGTAAATTGAATTGGAATCCAATTCTATATTCTGTTTGATTCGCAGATATGTCAAATGAATTTGATTTAAGTAATGTAAAATGACATAATTGCCCTTCTTATTTTTTTTGCTTAATTTTAGTTTGTTTTATAACTTACATGTAGCAATATATTATAAAAATATTAAAAATATTAAAATTTCATTTTATTGATTGATTATTCATTTTAATAAATTATAAAAATCATACTAATAAACACCATAAGTTAAAGTCATCCCAATTAGGGATGACTATGGGTTGGGTTGGGTCAGGTTTTTGGTTCACCCGACCCAACCCGAGAACAATGGAACCTCCACCCGAGACCCGACCCGACCAAAATAAAGTTTCACCCGACCTAACCCGAAATAATAAAAAAAATTATTCAATAAAAACAGTGACTTAATTGAAAAAAATTATATATAGAGGGGTATTGTTGTAATTATTCCTAAATATATAAGGTAAAATTATATATTTTTTTCGGGTCGGGTTGGGTATTTTTCACCTTAAACCCGACCCCGACCCGAATATCATTCTTAAAAAAACCCGACCGACCCGAATATCACACTTAAAAAAACCCGACCCGATCCTGAATTTTTTTTAAAAATCTGACCCGATCCCTAATTTTTTTTTTAAAAAAATCCGACCGAATACCGAAAGATTGATGAGAGTAGTATGGTCAAATTTCACATTTCCTCCTCCAAAGGATTTCAATTCATCATGTTATGAATGAAATGTACTTTCCCTCATTTGATGGAATTGGATTCCAATTCCCCCTTTGAAAACTTGAACCAAACATAAGAAAGTGGTGGAATTGGATCAAAATTCCCCCTAATTCCAATGAATTTCAGCGAACCAAACGTCACCTCAGACTAATGAATTCTTTTTATAATGATCCTTTAAATTCTTATTTTTTATACTTTATTCAAAATTATAAAAATAATAATAATATACGAAGAGTTTGATTTACTAAAATATTAATAATTTTGAGAATTTAAAATATTTTATATTTTTAATATTTAATTTATAATTTTATGGGATGAAAAAATAGTATTATTGTAAAAATGTAATTATTTGAAATAATATTTTACTACCATAATATTATTTTTTATATTATATTTTATATAAATAAATATGATACTTATGAACATTATTGAAAAATATAAATTTAATATACTAATGATATATTAAATGTAATTTATCCTCAAAAGTTAGATAGTATAACGATTAAAATATTTTTATGAATTTTCATTTAAATATTTATAAATTAATATTAAAGTTTAACTTTAAAAAAACATCACAATGATAATTTGGTAAAATATGCATCCAAGTAATCTTATATTCCTCCAACCAAACACAATAATCTTACATTCATTCTAAACAAACCAAACAAGGTAATACAATATTCTCATAATAATGTTACATTCCAGTAATATTGTTCCCAAATGTAATCGTACATTCTGTGAATCAAATGTTCACTAAGGCTTTCTAATTAACTATGTGGCTCAATTAATAATTTTAAAAATTGTACAATACAATACTAGATAAAAATGTAGCTAGCTGTGTTAGTTTACTACGAGTTAATCATTTAATTTAATGTTTTATTATTTATTACTATTAATTTTGATATATATTTTTAAATAAAAAACTGAGTTTTATAAATTTATAACGAAATCATCACATTATATATTAAAGAAATCAGAAATATTTTTCTCAAGTATATTCTGAATAATTGCAAAAACTGTTTCATAAAAATAATTGTGAACATATCAATTAAGATGTTTAATTTTATTAAATTATTTGTCTCTGTGTTCATCATGCGTTTTATGAGTTTAAATTCATATATGACTTTAAAAAGAATTAAAAGTATAAATTAAAAAAATAAAATCCGAATTAAGTAATTAAAATTCAGTTGAACAACACCAATATTATCTAGTTACACTTCAACATGATCAAAATCTAAAAAACATACTAATCATTAATTTTAATAATTAAAGAATGGTAGAATTCAAATGAATATTATTTTTATTTAATGCGTGAACATTATAGTTGATTGTTAGTTTGGAGAGGTTGATTGTTTTTCAATAGTACAAAAATAAAAAGAGGCAATTATCTCACTGTTTCTAACCTACTCCAACAGACAAAATGACATTTAATTCTGCTAAAATATATATTTAAAAGAAGAATGAAAAGACCCAGACTTTCTCTCTTTGCTTTGTGAACCATTTCTCTCTCTCTTTCTTACTGTGAACTCTTTTTGATACTACCATTTGGGTAGCATTCATTTGCTCTGATTCTTAAGGTAGTAGTCTTTTAAATAAAAATTAAAAAAATTTCCGTGGGGTCTTTGTTTTTCCTTTTCGTTTTCCAATTTATATGAAAAAAAATGATGGCTGTTAAGAGAAGGGCAATTGTTTTTCGTCGCCCTAGATTCTGTTAAATCCTAATTGTGATTGGATCTCTGTACTCTTTCCCAATTTCTTTTTGGTCATCACATTTCCGTGGAATAATAAAATAGTGTTATTAATCTTATTTAATTCTAGCATTTACTTATATTCAAGATCTGATTTTTATTTTCCACTCGGTTCTCATATCTGGAATTTGGGTTTTTGGTTTCATCACTTAGTAAACAGAGAGTCCTGAAATTTTAAGCTTATAGGATTGCAGCATTTTCTGGGTTTTACTTATTTTGGACTAAAACTTTGTTAAATGGTGAAGAATTAAAGAGCTTTCTTTCAAAAAG